TTATATAGGATGTTTGAATTTGTCAGTCGCAAACAAAAAGTACGTATCGACGTTGTTGAAAGTCTTCTGGTTCTTTACCCTGTTTCATTGCACACATAGTTAACCGACAACAGTAAATGATTAGCTTGTCAGTTTCACGAGCTGGCAGGCGTATAGCACGTGAATAACTTGTATTCACGAGCTGAAAACCTACATACAATATGGTTTCCGTTTCAAACAAGCATATTATTTAAGTTTTTACGGTTCGGTTTTAGGTCATTTTTGTTCATAAAGTCATTGGTTTTTTCCAGTCTAATAAATAGAAAGTTATATAAAAATAAATTCAACATAGTGGCAAATAGCAGAGTTGAAAATTATCGTTATTTTGACAGTGTAAAACTACACGTAACAAGATAAACATATACTGTGTAACATTAATAAAATTTAAACGTTCAGTTAAAATTAACGAGATTTAACACTGTACCTTCTGAATGTACGATATACGTTCTGTAAAGAGATTTAAAATATAACATTATACGCTTTGTTAGCAATAAAAAAGTAGAACATTACACATTCTGTTAACAGCGATACTTTTTACTCTTGAAGAAGAATAGTCAACTATTCGAAAGCGCTAGAGTTTTTGGGTCTTTCAAAATCTAGTGATACGAAATTTTACAATACTTTCTGCTAACAGAGATACGAAATAACATCTGACGTTCCTATTAACAGCGATTCGATGTCACACTGGATGTTCTGATAACAGTGGTACTATACAGCATTACACATTATGTTAACAGTGATTCGGCACAACATTTAATACTCTGTGAACAGTGATACGATGTAACATTATACGTTCTGTCAAGAGTAAGGAGATACGTATTAACTGGAAAGAGAGGATCGATACGAAATTTAAGCAGCAATATGCGTATATGCTACAGCACGATGTTAGGCTTACCGGCACTAACTAATTTGGCTTATTAAGTAATAATGTACAAGATTACTACATGCTAAGATTTATTTACATAGAATATATTCCTTGAATTTTACAGTCCTTCTTTCTATTAATACAGCTAATTTTACACATGTTAATTAGTAGAAATCTCTTTTGCTTGAATGTTTGGTACAACACACAGATTTTCGATAAGAGTTTGATCTGGAAACAGTTCCAAGAAGAAATATTTTCAGTACTAAAATCTGTAATTTTAAAGTTGTGATGTTCTTTGTTGTTGTTGTTGTTGCCAGGTGGTTCCATGCCCAGACTCTTCCTAGGACTTGTGATACCTTCCAGACAAGCTATCGATCCAACCGGGCTGCCAGGAAGAACCGATTCCGAAGGTAGCACCGATGAAACTTGGGGAAGAGGTAAGTGGCTATGTCGGTTGGCTCGGATTGCGGTTTTTGTTCTTATTCTAGACACAGAATCCAACATTCTTGATCACTTAGTTTACCAGCGGTCGATAGATAAGCGTGAAAATCTTGTGTGGTGTTTCGGATTGAATTAATTACCTCCATGTTCGTATGGATGAAAAAAAAATGTCAGCGTATGCTAGTAACAATGGAATTACTCGAAACAACAGCCAGGTATCCAAGATAGGTGAAAAAAACGTAGCAATGCATGATAAAATGAGTTTAAGTAACCTGGATTCCCATTGCTCCAAACAGAATTATTCAAGATTATAGAAAATGACTTCAACTGCAGTGCAAAAAGCAGTTAGTTGAAAGTGCACAAGGAAAGTTTCTTATAAAAGAGCATTTTAAACGCAGTTATGTGTAAAATAGCCTTTAAAGCTATCTAACGTTTAGGATTTTCCATGCTTCAAGGTTTGAATTTTAAATATGAAAAAAGGAAACCCTCAAATATGACTTTAAAAGATTTATACCCGCGCGGATTTACGCTTTCACAGCATTTAGTTATTGTTATTTTCTCTTCACAGCATTTAGGTTTTATTAGGTATGTACACTGTGCTGTAATATCTAGCAGGCTATTTCTGTTCAACCTCAGATAAAAAAATTACTGTCAAATGTCTTTTATTTTTTTTATCTCCGAGTAATAGGATATGCCGAACGTAGGTCAAAGGTTAGCATGCGAGACTGTGGATCTGTGAGTCGATCGTTTGCGTTTCCTTGTCAAAGAAACAAAAAGCTCTCTGTACTTTGGGGCCGTGTGTGTATTATAAGGGTGACAGTCAAACCACACTATACGGTCAGACAAGAAAAGCTCAAGCGTTGGCGGTAAGTGCTGTTGACTAGTGCCTTGTCTCTAGTCTATCAGCTCATAATTAGGGGCTCTAGCAGTCTCTAGATAGTCTTCGAGAAGCAAAACAGACAATTACCAGGACTTCCCATTTCGAAAACATTTTTTATACTGTTCTGGGCAACAGTTCAATAGATTAAGAAGAAGATAATGATTTCTTTCTCTGCGAGTTCACTTTAAGAGAATGATAATACGTGATTTGATTATTTTTCTTGGGGGGGATCTATAAAACTGTGATTAAAAGCTTTTACGTCAGGTTTATTCGAGGAAAATCATCTTGTGATAGTTTTGAAGGACGTTTCAGCCTATATTAGAATTTCTTAATCGAGAAGAGAAAATCTTCAAAAAATTCTTATTGTTTGCGAACAACATGTTTAGGTCTGTCTGTCTCCATGAATTCTGGCAACCGACACATTCTACTGGTCCCTGTCCTACACCAGCGATTCATTTCCTTGATGTTAACTCATTTTCTTTTTCAATAATCTTAAAATATACCACCTCAATTTCTATGTCTATTTTTGGATGCCTGTTCACGATTTCACACAAGAATTATTTTTATATCTAAAACTGAGGGAATGAAAAGCGAATAAACGTCATGTTGGTTTCAACAGAAATGAATTTTTTTATTTGAAGACATTTGCTTGGTTTGTTTTCCCTCTGTTTTCTCTTTTCATTGTTTCTTATCTACCAGACTTCACTACAAAATGTTAATTTTTTCTTTAACAAAAATGCTTTCATGAATCGATTCGTGGAATTATCACACATTATAAGTTGTCCTAAAGAGATTTTGAAATTAAACCCAGCTATACTTATTAAAAACGTTGGACTGGAAGTAACCAAACAATTCCTCAAACAGTTGTATACTTCTTAAAGATGTATCTTCATTATGATAGTTATGACGGCCAAGTATAGTTTAATCGATATTTTAAGTACTGATAACATTAACTGAAAATTTAATTTTGAAGTTACGTATAATATAAATAATTTTTTATTAATATTATAACACTACTTTGTTCTTCCTTCAAATTCTTTGCAGCTTAGAAAGTTGCAAATCGACATAAGCCATATCTGTATTCGAAAAACATCCTGACGATGATAGAAATGTGAAGTTCGACCATGCCAATACTCCAGCAAACATCTACACATTTGTCGAGTTGTAGGTGTGTGGATATCAGCTATGTCTGTACTCAATAAACACTTACATTTTTTGTAGTAGTAGGAGTGTGTATGTCAGCCATACCTGTACTCCTGAAAACATCTACACGTTTTTCCATGGTAGACGTGTTGACATCAGCCATATTTGTATTCCAAAAATATCCTAACGCTGTTACAATTTTCTTATAGTAGGATTGTGGACGTCAAGCATGTTTGTACTCCAGTGAATGTTGTTGTTGTTTTTTTTGTATGGTAGAAATGTGTATTTGAGCCATGTCTGTACTTCAATAGACATCAAAATGTTTTTTTTTAATAACATAAGTATGGATGTCAGTCATCTCTGTAATCCATCAAAAATCTATATGTTTTATAGCAGTAGAAGTACGGATGTCAGCCATATACAACAAACACTTACACTTTTTCTGAAGGACGGACTGCATATGTCATTAATGTCTGGATTTCAACAAATAAAGGCATGGTTTTCTTAAGGTGGAAGTTTCGACTGACTCATGTATATACTACTTTCTTTGTTTTTCTTTGCCATCTGCATTATATAAATTTTGTGCGTATTTAAATGACATATAGTAGAAACAGGTTTAAACAAAGCAGAATATGCGTTGGTGTCACGTCCTAGATATCTAAATATACGCTTGCCCCAAGCGACCGAAGTGGTCGTTTTAATAATTATGTAATGGAGAGAGAGCAGTCAAACCATTATGTACACGTGAGATATGTTGCTGTAAATAGGCCTGTCAGTGATATTATCTCTTCTGATGACATTTATTCGCAGTCGGTTTCTCTCCCATATCACGTCTGATTATCAACACGTTCTCCTTACGTTCTATTTCTGAAGTTTACTATGTCATGCGATTTGGGTGGGGCTCAGAAGCATGCTCTATAATAACATGTATGAAAAATTAGTAGGATATATAGGTCAGTCGATCAATAGTAGGAATTTTATTTTAATGAAATCGAACTGCTGGATCGGTGATGTTGTATGCTTCTGCTTTAGTGTCATGATATATCTTACGTTTTTGTTTCTGATGTTACTTGGTGTTTGATTAGTTCGTTTTCGTTTTGTGTGTCTCAGTGCAGGACATAGTTGTTAATTTAAAACTGTTTAAGAAAAGTACTACGTGATCACTTGGTAAAAAAATGAACATTTTCATCAATTAAAACCAAAGAAGCACTACATTTGAGCATAACTAGAAAGATAAGTGTAATGCAAAAGCGCTACATCTAAATCTGAGTTGAGAAAAACGGTATCGATACACCAACTACAGCTAAATAAATACACCTGAGCCTGAACATAAAGAACAAAGTTTGTACACTGGCAATAGTAAAAAAGCACTGAACCTGACAGAACGAATGAAAAAACACACCAGTATGTCAGAGAAATATTACGTCTGACCCTAATTACAGACAATAGAACTTTCAACAATAACAAGCATCTGAATACATTTTGACGTAAAAAGGTTACCAACATTACCTGGATCTGTTCTCAATAAAGTAGATTTTAAAAGTTCAGTTAATAACCTTTACGTCTGCCAACTGGTAGTGTTTTAGCTGAATGAAGAAACATATAAAAAAATCAAAATGACAGTAAACCCACCTAAAACAAATCGGCAGGGCTTATTGGTCGAATGTAGAGACCTCAACTCGCCATGTCTTTCCGCTCTGCCGTTCATTCATAGCTCGGTTCTTTATGGGGGTTCAGTTAGTGGACACAAGTTAGCCACTGTTTATGTTCTGATAACAATCCAAGGAGATCAGGCCAACTTTCAAGTCATCAGTATATATACACACTTACTCCAAAGGCAAGATGATCTTGTAGTGCAACAGCTAGTCAGACACCCAGAGACGTATCTCTTTGTACCAAAAACTCTCCTATTCTAATAGCCTACTGCGCCGGTTCGGTCTCAAGTATGACGTCACGCTTATCGAGCGAGGTAGATAGATACCAGCCGGCATAACATCGGAACTACACAAACGTAGTATTCTGCTCGAGTTCTTAACAGGTAAGGTACAAACAAACTGACTGATGCCCTGTTGCTCATTAACCATGACGTTTCATGAAAAAACTGTTCTACCTAATAATAACAATGTAGTGTGAAAAGATGTTTGTTTTCTACTTGAAAAGAGCAATGTAGTGTGAAATGATATTTATTTTCTACTTGAAAATAACAATGTAGTGTGAAAGAAATTTTGTTTTCTACTTGAAAATAACAATGTAGTGTCAAATGATGTTTATTTTCTACTTGAAAATAACAATGTAGTGTGAAAGAAATTTTGTTTTCTACTTGAAAATAACAATGTAGTGTGAAATGATATTTATTTTCTACTTGAAAATAACAATGTAGTGTGAAAGGATGTTTATTTTCTACTTGAAAATAACAATGTAGTGTGAAAGAACTTTTGTTTTCTACTTGAAAATAACAATGTAGTGTGAAAGGATGTTTATTTTCTATTTGAAAGGAACAATGCTGTCTCATAATATGATAAGTTGTTCTTGTTGCTTTCTCACTTTCGTATAAGAGAAAATCACCGATCCTAGTGTTCAAGCGGTCTTACATTTAAGCTGAAAAATAATATCTAAAGTATAAAACTAAATTACTTGAAATCGTAATTCACACACGTTTCAAAATAAAACGTGAAATATATTTAAGTAGTTACAAACTAAGACCATGTTAAATTTTGTCTCACCAAGATTTGTTCACATTCATATATATATAAACGGTTTCTGGGAAGGTATATCAAGTCACCTTCACCTAAACACGTCGAATAAATTGTATCTGGTATTTATGGTAGATTTCTAAGTTGATGTTAGTTCAGGTGTAAGAGATTAAACCTCTCATAATTATGTTGTTATACTAGATGGTAACCTAAGGAACTAAATAAATAAAATATTGTGATGCTGAAAATATTTCTAGTAGCTCCAGCCACACAGATATTAAATAATAATTTTTTAATTTATTATTACGTCGAGAAAATAATTTATAGAATATTTAAATCGAGCAGTCTGTGGTTTGTTAATATTAACTTGTACCACTGATAAATTTCAAGCAGTGGTTTTTAAACTGATCGAAAAGTTAAAGTTCACGGGGTAGATGACCAGGAGAAGTTTATATTGTTGAAATATTGAAGGCTTATAACAGAGAAGTTTAACAGACTGCAACTAATTAAAATTACTTGAGGCGACGAATCTTTTGTCACATTTGATAAAGGTCATCTTTCAAATTGTAAATAGTTAAGTACAAATTTAGCTTAATACAACAGCTTAAGAAATAAAACTGTTCAAACTTTAAATTATTTCAGAATTGTAGCTTCATCTAAATATATGTTGATTATTTAGATTCGCAGAATTCAGAAACTTTACTTTGATATCAATAATTTGTATTATTTAAAGGATTGGGAACTCTTCGTTGTTTTTGTTATAAACGTGTATTTTGTTTATTTCTATGTTTTAGAGCAAAGTAACATTAAGCTATTTGATTTATATACCGCAGAGAATCAAACTCTGGATTTTAGCATTGTAAATCCGTAGACTTGCCTTTATCTTACTGGGGAGACTTTTTCGTGATTTTTATTATTAGGGTTTGGAACTCTTCGTGATTTTGTTATAAACAGTGATGATTATTGAAAATATAGTTAAAATATATTCAAATGTCACTTGACAGAACCAACACAACGCGAAACCAAATGAACAATTTTCTTATAGCCTTTAGAACAACTGATCCGACTGAAGTATTAGCACCATAAATGTGTCAATTAACATTACGATACAGGTATCGTCTGTTAATTCATAACATATTAGTGACCAAATCGGAATGTTAAAACCTCAAACGACTTCAGTTAGCCTTAAATTATAGCTATGCGTGTTTTTGCTTCACTGTGTTTCTATAGCATGAGAAGAAATGTGAACAGAATGAAGCTGATGAGCTGCGTAAATCTTGTTTTCTCGTCTCACAAGGTCACTTTACACTACAAACAGTTTTACAGGGGTTTCTTGTCTGAGTCGTTAAAACTTGAACTGAGTTGATATTGCCTATAACCACCAAAATGGAATTACAACATTTGTAAGAATACATCACACACACACATTTTCAAAAGTTAATGATGCACATTTCTTGTGATTCAGACAGTACGTGAGAATTAGTTTAGATGTTTATTGGGGTAATGATTATCGTATTTGAATTGCTTAGAAAATTTTCACAATTTTATGTTTGGCTTTCTCAACACAAAAACATACATTTGTGGTCTTTCCTGTGCGTCGCACCAGGTCACTCAACATGTGTAAAAGTTACATTGATATTTACACAAAATCTGTAATATTTTTCTTACTTATGTTAATACCGAATCAACTATTTAACTTTTAGGACAGAGCAGTGTGAAATACAAGTCTTAAAAGTTTGTTTTCGACTTTAATCAAATAAAATAATTCAGACAGCAATTCGAAACACGGTTTTACGTTATTAAAATATAACAATTGAGACAGTAGTCCCAAATGTATCTTTGTTAGTCAAACAAAGTGGTACAGTATCACAAAAAGCGTGGCCTGATGTTATTATAATCAAATAGCCTAGACAACAGCACTAGAAGCATTGCATCATGTTAATCAAATGAGATAGACCACACATGCGAAAAACATGTCCTAACGTTTACCAGAACGTGCTTACTGAAAACAGTAAATTTTATTTGTACATGTACAAAGTCTTGTATCCATATCATTGTTGGTGCATTTTCAATGGCAGCAAACAATGAAGCATCGAAAGAGAAGCTTTTCACTAATGAATAATAACGAAACTAGTTTCATAGAATCAATTATGTTGTTAACTTTCAAATATGTATACTCACACAGCCCTTATATCTATCTATATATATATATACTTATGATTAAAAAAATTCAACGTAGATAGTTATAAAAGTTAGATAAAGGTTTATGGCCAAAATTATTTGTTAGAAAATTAAATTCGCGAGACATCGTGTAGAATGATTCTGTCAGGCTTTTTTCTTACCAACTATGTTCGCGCTGAAAATATTTCCATTATTTTCTGTAGATACTGAAATAACGTTATCATTCAACTGTCATGCTACATAAATCACGCTCAAGAGACTCGGTTTTTGTTGTAGATAGTGACATATAGGCACGTGTAGTAATTTATATACCGGGTCCCAACTACGGACAACACAACAACAAATACACGTTAACAAAACACAATATCACCCAAAGGGAATAAGCGGCCGGATCCTGGTATTCGGAGATGTCCGGACAACGTGTCATGTATATAAAACACAACCCACTATGCCCAGTGTTTACACCTCATTGGATACGTATCCGCGTTTTGAATTTCGCAGAGAAAAGTGTTTTGTTGAAGAACTCCACGATCTGGGAAAAAAAGGCGGATGGGGGGGGGGTAGCATATGTGAGGTAGCCCACTAGGAAAGTCCGGTTGTTTTGTTCCTTCTTAGGAATAAAAAGAAAAATTATATTTTAATGTGTAAGACTATGTACATAGTAAATGAAGTTTAACAACGTTAAACTGATGAACTTTGCAATTTTACTATTATCCCACGTGTGTACCATCGTGTTTATTGTTGTATATTTAAAAGTATGCAATGACACGCTTGTTGCTCAGCAGCTATTCACCTAATCACTTTAGAAAGGCTTTTGTACCCAACGTACTAGACCTGCGCGTTTACTTTGATGTGTTGTTGTAGTGGGAATTAAGGAACCAGTGTGTGTGTGTGTGTGTGTGTACCTTACACAAACTGTTTTACTTTACCATGATAGTAGTGTTTATTTGGAATTTTGATAGACTAGAGGAAAGGCAGCTAATCAACACCACCCACTGCCAACTCTTGGTCTTCTGTTTTACCAGCGAATAGTGATATTGACCGCCACATTATAGGGCCACCACAGCTGAAAGGGTGAGCATGTTCGGTGATGGGGATTCGAACCCGCGACCCGCAAGTTGCGAGTCGAGCACCTTAACCACCAAGCCATGCCATGATAGTACTTTACCATGTTCATATGTATGAAATGATATCATAATGTACATATGTGGAACATTTATAATGAACAGAACGTTTGTAATAGATATTGAGGAATATACGTATATATTTATTTATATATATATATAAAAACATAGAATCCTTGTTTTTCCTATTAGAAGGTGAATTTTATTAAACTCCTTGTTTTTACAGAAAATGGGTGCCTTTATGACACAAGCTACACGGTGGTATTACTAATACATTTACTATGAAGAACTCCGGTGAAGAAGACCCAATGAAAATTTTGAACTAAAATCTTTGTGGAAAGAGAGGGGCAAAAACACAATAAATAAAACGACAGTTATTCAAAATAAGCTTAACAAGTTGAAATTACTGAGAAGTTGTATACTTATATCCTTGTATAAAATAGTTTTTATCTATGACTTCATCGGATCAGTTCGGATGTTTTGACGATAACAATAAATATGAATAAATGGATGCTTAGACTTACAAGTCATTTATTAAATTAGCGTTGTTAAAATGATTTTAGCTCTTGGCATATTAATTAAAATATTCAATAAAATGGTTTTTTGTTGTTTGTTGCATTTTACGCAAAGCTACTCGTGGTCTATCTGCGTTAGCCGTCCCAAATTTTGAAGTAATAATCTAGAGGGAAGGCAGCTAGTCAATAGCGCCCACCCCTAACTCTTGAGTTACCCTTTACCAACAGATAATTTGACTGACCATCATATAATAACACCCCCATGGCTGAAAAGATGAGCATATTCAGTGATGGGATTTAATCCCGCGACCCTCAAATTGTGGGTCGAACACTCTAACTACCAGACCATGCTAGGCCCAACAAGATTATGTTTTGTTTATAGCG